ACGTGGTCGACGGCTACGTGGGCTGGGTGCCCGAGCACCAGCTCAAGGTGCGCGTCATCTGCGCGCGTGCCTACCACGCCCTGTTCATCAGCAACATGATGGTGCGCCCGACCGACGAGCAGCTGCTCGACTTCGGCGAGCCCGACTTCATCATCTACAACGCCGGCCAGTTCCCTGCCAACCGATACACAGAGTACGTCGCCACGCACGCGTTACACACACACACCACGTGCACACAACAATGCTAATTTTGCGTGTTTCTTTTTTGGCGCCATCTAGGGGAGTGGCATCGTCCACCAGCGTGTGCTTGAGCTTGGCCCGGCGCGAGATGGTCATCCTCGGCACTGAGTACGCCGGCGAGATGAAGAAGGGCATCTTCACCTTCATGCACTACGTCATGCCCAAGCAGGGCGTGCTTTCGCTCCACAGCAGCGCCAACGCGGGTCCCGAGGGCGACGTCTCGCTCTTCTTCGGCCTCAGCGGCACCGGCAAGACCACCCTGTCGGCCGACCCCAAGCGCGGCCTCGTGGGCGACGACATGCACTGCTGGTACAACCAGGGCGTGTTCAACATGGAGGGCGGTTGCTACGCCAAGGCGATCGATCTCGACCCCAAGCAGGAGCCCGAGATCTTCAACGCCATCCGCTTCGGCGCCGTGCTCGAGAACGTTGTCTACGACGAGCACTCGCGCGTGGTCGACTACCACGACATCAGCATCACCGAGAACACGCGCACGGCCTACCCGATCGAATTCATCCCCAACGCCATCATCCCGTGCGTGGCCGGCCAACCCAAGAACGTCATCCTCCTCACGTGCGACGCCTTCGGCGTCCTCCCGCCCGTCTCCAAGCTCACACCCGAGCAGACCGCTTACCACTTCATCACCGGCTACACTGGTACCACTTCACGCACAGCAGACACACCGGACACACCTTTTCTGACCTCTGTTGATGCGTGCAGCCAAGGTGGCCGGTACTGAGGTGGGAATCACGGAGCCCGTGTGCACGTTCTCGCCGGCCTTCTCGGCCCCGTTCCTCGTGTTCCACCCCAACGTCTACGCCGACATGCTCATCGAGAAGGTCAAGACCCACAAGGTCGACTGCTGGCTGGTCAACACCGGCTGGTCGGGCGGCGGCTACGGCGTCGGCGCCCGGATGAAGCTGGCCTGGACCCGGGCCATCATCGACGCCATCCACAACGGCGAGCTGGCCAAGTGCGAGTACGAGAACTTTGGGGTCTTCAACGTCAGCATTCCCAAGGCGGTGACCGGCGTGCCCGCCGAGATTCTCAACCCCGTCAACTCGTGGAAGGACAAGGCCGCCTACAAGGCCACCCTCGAGAAGCTGGCCCAGAAGTTCATCAACAACTTCGCGGCCTACGCCGACGGCTGCACGCCCGGCACCATCGCCGCCGGCCCCAAGCTCCCCTCTGCCTAAGGCGCCGCGGCCAACGTCCCGAGCGTGCTCCACCTGCGCGCCACTCCAGCAACCCAGCAAACCTTTTACCCAGATTGTCACACTTTTCCAGAGGAAAACAAGGATGTACAAAACGAACGCGTCGTGTGTTGTGTGTGGGCGTGCGCGTGCGCTTTGCTGAGGTTTTATTCGTTG